TAAATAGAGAAACTACATTTTTTGTAAAGTCATAGTGTTTATACTAAGTGCTAAATGAATTTGCTGAAGTTTACTAAAGAAGCTGAAACTGAATTGTAACAGCTGAAAGAAGCAGAAGAAAAGCTAAAAATGGCAAAATGCTCTTTAATAGATGCAAAAGACTATCTAAAATATAAAAGCAGCAAAAGTCTCCCTAAAAGCAGCATAAAAGAAAACTAAAGCAGTATTCAAAAGGAACAATGCACTTCAGGGAGTAAAATATTTTGAAAAGTATAAAAGTTACAAAACTCACAGCACCCATCTCCGGATGGAGCTGAACATTTTTAATTTATTAATGGCTAAAAATAGCACAAAGTATGCAGACGAAACATGTAAAAACAAAAGAGGAAAACAACAGTTAAAAAAAGCAAATAAAACTAATATTCTGAAATAAAGCGTTTTTGCTTGTAGCTTGTCATTTATTAACTTTCTAACGGGCCTCTGAAGTCCTTTAAGTCTGCCCTCTGTAAAAAGCCTCCATTAACCCTGTCTGCTCTCCTGTAGGGAACTTTCAGCTGCTTTTGATGCTTTTAATTTTACCGGCTGCCTTTTCCGGCGAGTGCGGAGCACGTCTGTTTCTAAATGTCAGATTGTCAGACATCCAGCCGTGTCTGTAAAACTGACAATATCTTCATCTTACCAGATTTACGCTCGAGTATCTCAGTCAGTGACAGCTGAGATAATGGAGGCGTTTCTAAAACCATCTGCTCGTCACTTTCCAAAGAAACGCTCTCCTCTGTCAGCTCAAAGATTCTGGAGGCAGAGACCTGGCCTCACGGCTCGCGTTTGTGGTCGCTTTTTGAACTTTGTGTTTACCGAGCTCACGAGCACGCCCCCAAAGCCTGACAGCCACAGTAGCCTCACTGTGCAGTCAGAATGGACCTGTGTTTGCTCAGGGTTGGGCTGATACCTATATAATGTCTCGACTGTAAGTGCTCATGTAATTAAAACGCTACCAATAGGTGAAGAGTGTTCCTTGACTCCATCAACCTCTTGAGATGTTTTGCCCTGATACTCACGCTCAGTGGGACTCGCAGCAAGCTGACCTACTTAAACCCTCGTGAAATATGGGCAATCATGTCACTTCCTGTATCTGCGTGCGCCTGTGTTTGTTTTTCTCTTAGAAAAATGCATGGGTTTTAAAGAAACTCTTAAAAACGAATCATTGGATGTACATCTACAACTGATTAGCTGTTGGAATCAAACTGTTTTATTTTTTTTTTTCATTCATTCAACCTTTATTTATACAGTTTAATCCCACTGAGCCTCGGGGACTCATTTACAAGAAAGACCTGATTTTAACCAAGAGTGATGACAACAGTGGACAACAACGGCAACAATAGACAATCATAAAGATGCGTACAAATTTAATTCTAAAGGAAAAGTAGTGAAATAAACAGCTAGATTATAAGGCGGTGTAGAAAACTACAAACAGGAACATGTCTGCATTGGTTTTTCCCAGGAACTGAGATGTTTAAAGCCACTTAGAGAGGTCAAGGTCGAGAGCTTCAGATCTTTTTGCAAGATATTCCAGGAAACGGGAGCAGAGTAGGAAGATTTAAGATGAGTACCACAGCAAATCAACTTTAGTAGCAAAATTACTCTATCACTTTTACAGACACTAAGCTTAAATTTGGTGTGGTAGTGGTTACAGGAGTCGTTCAGGTCTCTCTTGTAAATGAGTCCTCGAGTCTCAGTGGGATTAACCTGTATAAATAAAGGTTGAATGAATGAATATGCAGAACAGGATCATTGTTTAAAACAGGACATGCAAGCTACACCTCCTTTACAGGAATGCATACCACTCAGTTTTTAATGCTGATAAACAGCAGGCTCAATTTTACTTTTTCAGACTTATAAAAATAATTGTTTATTTTGTGTCATACATCAGACAAAAAGATCAATTTGCAACATTCTCAGCACGGACAAAAGTGTCAAGTTCTTCCTTTGACTCCTTTCTTCACAGCACGTCCCTTTTTGCATTTGTTGTTTTGTTAAGGCTTTTCTTTTTGGTTTGAGTTATGCTCTGTTGTCTTACTGTGCTGTTCTGCTCAGCTGTGTTCTCACAAAGCTCTGCTGCTGGAATAAAAGCCAGTGCAAAGAAAGCAGAGCTTTGTTGTTTGTGTGGACCAACTTTTGTGTCCTTTTCTCCCAGCTCTTCTTTAAGAGACAAGTAGCCATCTGCCTGCAGACAAAAGGTGCAGGCCTCCTCGTCTCCCTCCCTCCTCATCATGGGGCAAAAATATCTCTGAGTTGTCCTTTCCTCATTTGTCCACACAGACCGAGCTGCAGAGAATTATGTGGTATGTTTGTTAAAGAATGTCAACCACAGTGACGAATAACTTCACCTGTCTTGTCAGTCCTGCAACTATTGTTTTGACCCGCAGACAAAAGAAGAACTATATGGTGCCATCATAAAACAACAACTTTGCTTCTGTTTCCATCATCCTGTAAGCTGAGTATTCATTTTAACTCAGCTTCATAGGCATTTTGCACACTTTAATTTAACATTTTAAACTGTTTTGGGGTTGTCTCTGGGATGCTCTCTGAGATTCCCTCTTGGCTTAACTTCCCAATTTACTCTTGTTTTGTAACATTTTTGTAATTGCCCTAAAATAAATAATCCGCTTGGCAGCGATCCTGCCCGCAGTTGCTGTTTAGCGTGTTGTGTCTGAACGTCAAGCATGTGCTGCTGTGTATCAGGAGAGCTAATCCTGCATGAACATGGCAACAACCCCCACTGACAAAAAAAAATAAAAATTGCACGACTGCAGACCTGCAAAGGAGCTTCCTTTGGGATTTTCCTTGGATTTGGGCACTGCAGGGCAGGAATTATGGTTGTAATCCCCCCCAATCTCAGTGAATAGTCTCGGTCTGCAGGATCTGCTGGAGAACTGATTGTGTAGCCTGCATTAAAGTGTCTGGTAGATCCAGTCTGGACGGCAGTGAGGGGAATTCCACCAGCAGTCTCGCATAGCTCGAGGTCAAGATCTGTTTTTATTTCAAGGACACAACCCCCCACTCCCACCCTCTCTCTAATGCCGAGCAGTCTTGTGTCTGTCTTTGAGCAAACAAGTGACCCCTTTAGACCTAGCGCTGACTGGGAACGGCTGGGACTGGTCTATTATCTCCAGCTAAAGTGATGTTGAGTGTGGCCGGAAGGCAGCACACTAATGGGAATGTGCTGTGTGCTATAAAGAGGCCGTCTGCACTGCTGATCCTGCTTTACAGAGCTGCTGAGCTGTATGAAGCGGTCCTGACAGCATCTCACTCTTAACATCCTGGCCTCTTCCCATCCAGGACTCAGTTCTCTCTCTCTCTCTCTCTCTCTCTCTCTCTATCTGCTTGTCTTTCTTTTCTGGGCGTGTGAAAGAGGACCATTGTTTGAAGCACACGCCTGCCCTTGAGCCGCCCACTACCAGTCCTGTTCTTCCTGCTCTTCTTGCTCCCTGCTGCCACTGGATTCAGACCAGATGCAGCACCAACCCCCATGGTAGCTGTCATCAGTAACCCCTCCTGGGTCTGTGCTGTGCAGAGTTCATCCGCAGCCTCTGCTGCATAGCACTTCCTCCACACCTTTTTACAAGAACATCCACGGATCAACAAGTCGAGCATGGAGGCTGAAGGGAGCCGGGGAGGTTCAGGAGCGGAGCTGATAGCCCACAGGGTTAAAAGACAAGAAAGGAAGCACCAGGAACTGCTCGCTCTGGCTTTAGGAGTCAAGCTGGGGAGCAAAGGAACCCTTCTGTGGAAGCCCATTAAACTGTTGGCCTCTTGTCCACAGATCTCCTCACCTCTAGTGCGGCAGAGTGCCTTGAAAGACGCTCCTGAGAGGCAGAGTTCCTATGAAAAGATCCACAACTTTAAGGTAAGCAGTTTGTATTTTATTTAAAAGTAGGGGGGGAAAGGACCAAATAAGTGATTGACCTTTTTTTATAGGAGCAGTTTTCAATTTGTTTCATCTGCTAACAACATCCATCCATTTTCTTTTACCTGTTTTTCATTTCTGGGTCAGTGCCCATCTTCATCAATCACTGTGAGAGAGGCAGGGTAATTCCTGGACAGGTCGCAAGTCCATCACAGGGACGCATGGAGAAAAAAAAAACGAGACAAACAATCATTCACGCTCTCACTCAACACCAGAGACAATTTAGAGTTACCAATTAATGTAAAATGCACATTTTTGGTTTGTAGAGGGAAACTGGGGAAAATGCACTGGAAGAACATGCAAGCTCCACACAGAAAGGCCGGGAGGCGAACCTGCAACCTTCTTGCTGTGAGGCAACAACTCTAACTGTTCCACCATGCCACCCACTAACAGCATTATTATTTTGTAATCTGACTGCTTTCTGCAACATTTCGGCACACTCTTTAATTTAAATCACCATGTTTGTCTTCTGTTTGTCTCTCCTAACCCACATCTGAGCGTGCGCTGCTGTTTGGACGAGAACACAACCAGCTGACACTCATATGCACTGAGGGGAACTAATGAATGCACTGCAGCACGACCCATTAACAGCAGCACACTTTGATTAGCATTGATTTGAAAGCTTTTAGAGATGTTTTTGTTCCTGGCTTCAATTTTTTTGTAACAAGTGCAAATGCTTTAGCAACTAAAGCCTATTTCTGTTTCCTTTAAACACACAAAGGAGACTTTTAGGATATGTTGCCTCTGGGTGCTCCAACTTTCTTAAAACTGTTTCTTGGGTTTCAGTTGACAGGCAGGTCTATGATGACCTCCTTTTCAAAGAGAACAAAAACCTTACACCGACCACCTGCCGCATGCTTTCTGCACAGATACCTATTCAAAGTACCCCTGAAGGTGCATGTGCACCTAATTGTAGCTCTGTTTGGAAATTTATCTCTGATCTAAGGAGGCAGAGTGGGCGTACATCTGTTATTTTGACTTCCAGCCTTGCTGCAGCTCTGGCTTGCGTGTATCAAATATCCCCAGCAACAGATGCCAGACACATTGTAATAAATCCTTTAATCTGCTCTGTGTACACACACAGGCTCTCATTTGGTGCAGAGTTTAGGGTCCTAATCTAGTTTATCGAAGAGGGATGGGAAGTGGGGCATCTTCACATTAAACCGGGCGTTTCGTTGACTTCTGTTTTGTGGTATGTTTCGAACCACAGGTGCACACGTTTCGAGGGCCGCATTGGTGCGAGTACTGTGCCAACTTCATGTGGGGCCTCATTGCACAAGGTGTCCGCTGCTCAGGTAAATGCACTACATCATCAGATCTTCACTGTGTTCATTTTATCTCACAAATATCTGGGATTATGACAGCAGTGTATGTTCTGTGGCAAACACCCCACCCACCCACCCACCCATTATCTGTACCCGTTTATTCCATTTTGGGTCACGGGTGTCGCTGGTGCCCATGTCCAGCAATCACTGTGCGAGGGGCGGGGTACACCCTGGACGGGTCGCAAGTCCATCACAGGGCCACATAGAGACAAACGAGACAAACAACCATTCACTCTCTCACTCACACCTAGGGACAATTTAGAGTTACCAATCAGCCTAACATGCATGTTTTTGGACTGTGGGAGGAAACCGGAGTACCCGGAGAAAACCCACGCATGCACGGAGAGAACATGCAAACTCCACCCAGAAAGGCCCCTGGACCGGGGTTTGAACCAAGGACCTTCTCGCTGAGAGGCAGCAGCTCTACCAGTTGCGCCACCGTGCTGCCCTCTGTGGCAAACAGTCACACGATAATCCCAATGAAAGAGTTTTTTTCTCTTCAAGTTGATACATTGCTAATGACTTTCCCATCCATCCATCCATCCGATTTTCTTTACCCGCTTCTTCCTTTTTGGGTCACAGAAGTCACTGGTGCACCTAGCAGTCACTCTGTGAGAGGTGAGGGACACCCTAAACAGGTCTCTCGTCCATCACAGGGCCACAAAAAGACCAACGAGACAACCATTCTCTCTCTCAGGGACAATTTAGAGTTACCAATCAGTCTAAAACCAATTTCACCAAAGGACAATTAAATATATTGTAGCATAATGTGTCTTGATGTCACATCGTCAGTGCAGCTACAGCGTGCGCTCCCAAGACATCATTACCTGCAGTGTCCCATCAGTGCGGACCGAATTTGGCAAAAGGGCTTTCTCTTAGTCCGCTCCTGTAACCTGGAACACTTTGCAAAAAGATCTGAAGCTCTTGACTTTGACCTCCCTAAGGGATTTGAAACTACTGTTAAGTTCAATGCAAAAATCAATGCCAACATGTTCCTGTTTGTGGTATTTTACACCACTTTATAATGTAGCTTGTCTTTATTTCGTTTTATATCACTTCTTTCATTTACTTTTCATTTTATATGCTTTCATATGAATATTTATTGCTGTCTTTAAAACAGGTCTTTCTTGTAAATGAGTCCTCGTGACTCGGTGAGGCTAACCTGTATAAACAAAAGTTGAATGAATGAATGTGTTGTCAGTGACACATCGGAAGTTTTAAACATAGTGAAGCAGTTAATATTATTATTACTTATTAGTCTTTATTGGCTTTACTCTTTTTAAAACCATCATGAAGATAAAATAAAGTTTTTGCACATTATTCTCTAATAGCGTTTCTGTATGAAGCAGTTGGATGAAACACTGACTTCACGTTATTTCAGACTGATTTAAAGCACATGCAGCGATAATTAGGTTAACACAAAACATGAGCATTTGAACTAGTTTAAATTATATTTACTGCTCATAATGAGCAGCTGACAAACCGTACCACAGATTTGGTGATACAGTTTTCACAAATTGAACATAGGTAGCGTGAACATTTTCAGTAAGGTTGACTCAGTGAAAGCAGGTTGATGCTTGTTAGAAATGCTTGTAATGACTTGCAAATAAATAAATAAAATGCAACATTTTATTTCAGATTTGAGAGTTTTTATGAAATGTTTCTTAAATGATGTCGCTGTGTAATACACATAAACGTAATTACCATACAGTGACAGCTCACCTCTATAGATCGATTGTGGTAATGCTGATTGCAAATATTACAGTCACTTGAGATTGATGCTATATGATAATTGATAGATTATTTTAAAAAAGAAGTTTTGAGTTGAACAAATGTTGGAATAAATCAATAATTTTTCCACACCAATTACTACATACATACATTTTTTTCTATATGGTTTGAAAGTAAACTGGAGATTTTTATTTTGATGAGGATATGAAAAAACGCTTCTCAAGCTGTTCTTTCAATGACTGGGCTATTCAACTGACGGCCCGCCGATTAGTTCATTAAAAGAAAATTTAAAAAATCTGTGAGACCTTTAAAAATTTTGAAATGACAAAAGAGAAGTAAGATGAGCCCCCTCCCCACCAAAAGTATTGACTTACACATCATAATATCTGTTGGAGTCAACCTCCCCACCATCACAGACATGTACACCTCGAGATGCAGGAAGAGAGCCGCTTGCATCATGAAGGACCCCACTCACCCCGCACACACACTTTTTGTCCCGCTCTTCTCAGGAAGGAGGTTGAGGAGCATTCAGTGTAGAACCACTAGACTGAGGAACAGCTTCTACCCTGAAGCTGTTAGACTCATGAATCCCTAGTCAGGATTATCACTGTGAAAAAATCACTGTAATGTCACTTGGTTGTTGATATGTGCTGCTGACTATCCATGATGCTGATCTCATGCTGCTGATTTATTTCATGTTGCTGTGTTTATTAGTCCTCACCTGCTCACACAAACTCATGTTTGTGCTGCTGTTGTTTGGCGCATTGCTTCATACTATTAGTGCTGAGTATATTCTTAGCGTATTTCTTGGTTCATGTCTTGGATTTTACTACAGTTTTTTTCTTTACAATTTGTATTTTTGTTGGATGTAACTGGGATCCTGTGTACATAGCTCCATTCCACCACATGTGATGTGACTGACAATGAAGACATCTTGACCTTGATAATGTTAGGCCATACATCAACATTTGACCTCATTTTTTAGTGAAAATACTCATGCTGGACTAGTCAGGGCTTTCCCCTTTTACTCATTTGGGAACAACCCCATGGTGTCAACTGCCAAAAACAGAAACGTCAACATAAAAGCCAAAGCAAACCTGACCAGCACGTTAACAAGAACAACACATTTCCACACTCAGAAACGTCATGAACAGTCAGAAACATTGCACATATAATTTCCACAAGACCACCCAGCATGCTTTGCAGCTCACACAGTCTCTTTTGGACTCTTACAGAGAGACTGTGTGAGTTTGAGGGCAAATAAACTAAAGTTGAGCAGAGACACACATCTGGGGCATACAAATATCCATGTTTTAGCATTAATAATGTTCAATTATGAGTTAAATTAGCAGAAACACAGCTGTCTGCTTCTGCAGGGGTGCTCTTTCTCTCTTTCTGTGCGGGGAGTTTTGATAAACTGATCGTATCAGTGTGTGATCGCCCACAAGGCAGATTAAACAACAACTAACTGATTTATTACTGGGGGAATATTGATGAGGATGCACAGCAGCTTTGTAGTTAGTCTAAAAATAGTTAAACTCAAATAGGATGGATGAAGTGATTTGATTTATTAAAAACACGAAGGAGGCATTTATGGGCTGAAACTTGTGCCACCAGAACCAAATTTGAATTGCGTAAAACCATTAAATTCAGTTTCAGTTTAGTGAAATTCAGTTTCAATTTGGTGAAATTCAATTTCAAATGATGCAATTCAAATTCAATTCTGATGGCCCAAGTTTCAGCCCACACTTCACCTGTGATTTATGAACCATTTGAGGAAGAACTGGTCTGTGCAGCGATTTCATTGTACTTTGTAAATGAGAACTGGTTCTTATCGGACCCATCTGGAGCAGCAACATGTCGGTCATTCAGGGAACATCAAAAACAGTCAGCATTTTTTATTTTATTTTGAAAAGCATAAATATTTGGCAAGTCAGAAATGTTGGAATAATATTAGTTTTAAATAGAAGGCATAGTGTGTGATTTTAGTTTTTTATATTGTTTCACATTAGATGATCACTACTTTTATTCCAAGGAAAAACATCTTCAAAAAGTTATTTCCTTGAATTACACTTTTGTCTTTATTGCATTCATTTTTATGCATTTTATTTATTTATTTATTTGATTTAATGCAGAAAAAAATTAAAACGTAGCAGTTCATTGTAATGGTTTATTTACTTAATGAATTTAATTGCTGGATGTCCGGCCCTTGAGCTGTTGACTTTCAGTAACTGTGCCCCCTGAGCAGTTTAGTTGAATAGCCCTGATTTATGATGTTTGAAAGCAATTTTCATAAATATGAAAAAAATTAAAAAAAACGAACAAACAGTTACAGTAACTGCAAAACAATGATTTTAACTCAAAGCCTATAATTCCTCGCAGGATGGAAGAATGGATATCATCTGCTGCCTTGAGTGCCAAAGTTTTAAACAAACCTTTCACACTCTTAGCACCCAAAGCATGTCTCATAAATCAGTCGCAGATTAATTAGAAATTAGGAATAAATAGAAATGTGACTGAACTTTGTGTTTGCTACATAAAATCAGTTAGCTGTGGCAGTCATCTTGAATCAGGCTAACTCCAAAGGTTAATCAGTTCTAGATCCACATCCAATATTTACCTTCTGAGAGTTTTATTACAATGTATCCACTCACTTGTAAAATATTTAGCTTACATGACAAACACACACAATCAATTACATTATCACCCACCTTTCAAGGCAATAATAATTATAACCACTGTGTAATTTGTGGGTTTTCTTCTTAAGGTTTGTAGGTTTTAATATTGGGAGATATTCATAACTGTTATGTCAAGTTTTATTTAGCAGAGTGTTGTAAATAATATGAAGCAGAAGCAAAAAGTACTCTTAAGTTTTCTTGTGTGGATTAATTGAAAAAAAAAAAAAAAAAAGAAGGTAATATTTGAACTACAGCACAACACATTGTTTTATTGATTAAATATAGCAGCAGGTCTTAATGATTATTTAAAGCCATCATGAGGTTTGCCACTAATGTGTTCACCAGGGGATTTGGCTGCTCTTGACTTTAGCAGTGTTTGTTGTTGACACATTTTCCACGCTGATTAGCCAGAGGCTTATCATCAGACACTGCATGAGCTGTGAGAAACAGGAGAAACTACTTTGCACTCTGTCTAACCTCGATTTATTCATTCATTCATTCAAATCTCCTGCTTCTCTTTCATTCTGTGATTATTTACCTCGGTTAGAACACCAGCGTGAAATGTCTTTATCAGAAGCACCGTCGTCTACACTTAATCAAATCCTTCGTTCCGAGTTGTGCACAAGCATAAAACACCTTTCAAACAGCCCTGCCAGCTGTCCAAAACACTCCACATGAACAAAACTACGAGGAACCCCTGACCGTGCTGCTAATTTCTGCTGTCATCTACCTTTTGTGCAGCATGCTGGGACAGCTGAGCTGCAGCTGTCTCTGTAACTGTTTATCAGTGAGAAGACTGATCAAGCTGCCGTCTGTAGTCTGTCCTGATGATTGTGTTATCATCTGTCCAAGGCTAATCTCTCCCTTCGCTCTTCTTCACCTCACGTTTTGCTCTCAGATTGCGGCCTGAATGTCCACAAGCAGTGCTCCAAACTGGTTCCCAGCGACTGCCAACCAGACCTGCGCAGGATAAAGAAAGTATACAGCTGTGACCTCACCACACTCGTCAAAGCTCACAACACCGCGCGACCCATGGTGGTGGACATGTGCATCCGAGAGATAGAACTGAGAGGTGGGACGCAGTTACTCCATCAACACCTTAGAACTCGTCAGTTGTGAACAGTAACATGTATTTTGGAAATGCTACTTTTATTTACTACGAGATAGTAAAACAAATGTTCCTATAATGTTTTGCAGGGATGAAATCAGAAGGTCTGTACAGAGTGTCAGGCTTCTCAGAGCACATCGAGGATGTGAGGCTTTCTTTTGATCGAGGTTTGTTGATTACAAATGTCTTTGCTTCAGTATTATTGTCTCTGGGTTTTAAATATGTAAAATATATTAAAAAAAAGCTTCATGTTTCTTATAAGAATGCATATTATCTACCACCCAGGGGCGATTCTAGAATCTGATCTTTAGGGGTGCTTAGCCCCCAATGCTGACAATGGTTGTTGGTTTGAATAATAAAGTAGATGCCATTTCCTGCATTCTGGTGTGTTTTAACGGGTTGTTAAACATCTTTGTTTACCTATGTAAGTAAACACTTGATTCAATAACTATTTTGGACAGCACGGCACAACAAGAAGTAGCGCTAAGCTAGCGGCGTGCAATACAGATGTGCTAGCTAAGATGCTACAAACATACTGCTCTGCTACATTACACAACCTAATAAACGCTTTGTACAAAATCAGTTTAGTGTTAACTGATCATAACAAACAAAGACTAAACTTGTGCAACCAGAAGTTGCAACATATATTTACATACAAAACACACAAAACAAAACACAACTAGCTTTAAACATTAACTTTTAATTTAACCATACGATGTACGTAATTATGACAAAAAAATGGAGGATTTACTTACAGTTATCTTCGTACAGATGAACATGAGTTACTTCCTGTTTATCATTGTTGTATTCAGTTTGTCGGCTGCAGGGCTTTATCCATCTTTTACATAATTCCAGATTCAGTTTAGGGTTTGGAAATTGAATAAACTGTATTCACCCTCTAAAGCAGGATTATTCAATTAAACTGCTCAGGGGGGCCACAGTTACTGAAAGCCAGCAGCTTACTGTATTTTAGGGGTCCTGAGTTAAAATATAGGGGGTGCTTGAACACCCCCCAAAAGAGGCTAAAATCACCACTGTCATTAAAGGTGGCAGTGCCAGATATTTTTAAGTTGAGTAAAGATGGAGTTGTAATGATGTAGGTCAAGCCTTAAACCTAACATTATGAGAAATGTCGTACCATAGTGGGAGATGTCCGCCTCAGCTACTTCCACATCAAATTTAAGCTCGATTGCTGTAAAACTGTCTGAGCTGTAGTCATTTCTGTGATTTTTAAGGTCAGTTCCATTGGCAGTCATCCTTAGTTAGGCTAACTCCAAAAGTTAATCAGTTGCTGATGCATCCATTGACTACTTTCTGCAACTTTCATTCAAATTTCTCTGGTGGTTCTTGAGATATTTTGCTCACAGATACACACAAATATGGGCAAATCACCTCTCAGCTTTGACAGCGGGCAATAAAAACCGTGTTTTACCTGCAGTTCTGCACAAAAAGTTCTGTCCAATCATTTGTGGTTTATACTAGAACATTCCTTTGTACCAAATGGAACGTTTGATCTCACTCATACATTATGTGCTTGATGACAACAGATGGTGAGAAGGCGGATATCAGTGCCAGTGCCTATGCAGACATCAACATAATTGCTGGTGCTTTGAAGCTCTACTTGAGAGACCTTCCAATTCCAGTCATTACGTTTGACTTGTACTCCAAATTTATTCAAGCTGCAAGTAAGAGATCCTCCCTGGGCATTTCCATGCCATTACTGTGTTCGTCCTACTTTGCAGTGCTTTGATAGTTATCGTTCTGCTGATGTGCAGAAATTCCTAACGCTGAATCCAGACTGGAGGCCATCCACGAAGAGCTGCTGCAGCTTCCCCCGGCACACTACGAAACCCTGCGTTACCTGATGGCTCACCTCAAGAGGTTAGCTCAGCTACTGATACATTCATCTTTATGTTTGTAAAACCAGTGCAAACTAAATTATTGCGTCAAAATTAAAGGTATTTAATCCATGTTGAAGTAGCATTTACTGTAAAATATGTCTTGTTGTTAAAATTAAGCTCGTTTTTAAGGCAGCAGATCAGATCTCTTAATGTGGGGTTCTGTGGAAACTTTCATACAGTTAATATCTTACCTGTTATAGATGGCTGGTTGAACAGCCTCAAAACAGACTTGAGTTTTTTTCAGGTTTGTTGAGATAAAAAGTAACTGGAGTGAGGCAAAGACCAGACATGGCTGCCGTCTTAAAACAAATCTGATCTCAAAGATTTCCCAGCGGTTTGTGCAAATCTGTTAAAAATGTTTTTTAAACCTCCGTTAGTTTTGCTGTCCATTTGCTTCCAGTTGAATATGTTGGTTATTTGCAAGCACAAATAGAAGCTGTAACTGTAGCACTTCCTGTGCAGCCTGAAGCATTTCAGCAGGATTATGATGGTATTTATGCTGCAAGAACAGTGTAAAGTCAGAGTCAGAGTCAGAGTTTCTTTATTGTCATTCGCACCTCATGTGGTACATGTGGTGGAGCGAAATTATGTACACGGAGTCCCAGTTACATCCAACAATAAAATGTCTAAGAAAAACAGTAAGATTAAAGATCAACAATGGAAAGGTTTATAAAACTGTATTACAGTAGTATTGCATAAATATAATATAT